TTCTCACGATATTGTCACTGACTGTGGAATCAACCCAAGGTATTGCCATGAAGGTCTGCAAGGCAGGGTTCAACGTATCCTTATCTCAGTAAAAGTACAGATAGTTCTCACTTAATGATCATGACTGGGACTAGCAACTTCGTTATTAAGCAATGTAGTCATTAAATGAAACATCACCTCACTGCATCAGATAACAACAACAACAACAACAACAACAACAACAATAATAATAATAATAATAATAATAATAATAATAATAATAATAATAATAATAATAATAGTAATAATAATAATAATAAAGTTGGAAGGGACCTTGGAGGTCATCAAGTCCAACTCCCTGCTCAGACAGGAAACCCTATACCATTTCGGACAAATGGCTGTCCAGTCTCTTCTTAAAAACTTCCAGTGTTGGAGCATTCACCTCTTCTGGAGGCAGGTTGTTCCACTGATTAATTGTTCTAACTGTCAGGAAGTTTCTCCTTAGTTCTAGGTTGCTTCTCTCCTTGATCTGTTTCCACCCGTAGCTTCTTGTCCTGCCTTCAGGCGCCTTGGAGAATAGCTTGACTCCCTCTTCTTTGTGGCAGCCCCTGAGATATTGGAACACTGCTATCATGTCCCCACTCGTCCTTCTCTTCGTTAAACTAGACATACCCAATTCCAGCACCTGTTCCTTATATGTTTTAGCCTCCAGTCCCCTAATCATCTTTGTTGCACTTCTCTGTACTCTTTCTAGAGTCTCAGCATCTTTTTTACATTGTGATTACCAAAACTGGATGCAGTATTCCAAGTGTGGCCTTACCAAGGCATTGTAAAGTGGTATTAATACTTCACGTGATCTTGATTCTGTCCCTCTGTTAATGCAGCCCAGCACTGTGTTGGCTTTTTTGGCAGCTGCAGCACACTGCTGGCTCATATTTAAGTGATTGTCCACTAGGACTCCGAGATCCCTCTCACAGTTACTACTATTGAGCAAGGCATCCCCTATACTATAGCTGTACATTTGGTTTTTCTTGCCTAAATGTAGAACCTTACTTTTTTCACCATTGAATTTCATTTTGTTAGATAGTGCCCAGTGTTCAAGTCTGTCCAGGTCCTCCTGTATCTTAAGCCTGTCTTCTGGAGTGTTGGCTATTCCTGCCAGCTTGGTGTCATCCGCCAATTTGATGAGTTCCCCATCTATCCCCTCATCCAAATCGTTGATGAAGATGTTGAAGAGCACTGGGCCTAGAACAGAGCCCTGGGGCACCCCACTACACACTTCCCTCCATGTAGATGCAGTTCCATTGAGGACCATACGCTGAGTACAGCTGGTCAGCTAGCTAAGTCAGTCAGACTTATGACATCAATTTCACTGCAGTCATTAAGTGAATCACCACTGTCATTAAGCATGACATTACATGATCACAACTTACAACTTATTGCCAGTTTCCCTAAAGACTTTGCTTCTCAAGAGCGGCATATGAAGGTCACAACTGGAGACTATGTGACCACAGGACACTAAAACTGCCATAAATGTATGCTGCTTGCCAAGTGCCTGAATTTTGATCTCATGATCACACTGTGAGTTTGAGGACCAGACTTAAATCTACTTTTTTAGTACTATTGTAAGCTTGAACCATTGCTGAAGACGCACTTGGTAAGTGAAGATTTATGTATATAGCTTTTCCCCCTATTCCCAAGCAAATAAAGCATTTTAGGGTAATCAGCTTGTTCAACATTTTGCTCCACCAAAGGCACAGTTAGAAGGAAACAGCAATGACTATAAAATGGTGTGAAAACCAAACATTTCACAGTTGCCAGCACGGTGGTTCTTCTTCCAAGTACTATATATAAAATGTGTGATATGATGTTTTCAGAGCAATGTTGCCTTTTCCAAAGTAAATTCCTCCTGCTGCTCCAACAGGCTGATAGGAAGTAAGGGGAAGCAATTGCTTCTAACAGCAGGTCTGTGATTTACTAGATATTTATTTCATGCTATTTACTCTCCATTTCATAGAAGCACTTAATGAAAGAGAAACAAATGTGCAAGTAGCACTTTGTGGAAACACGATATGATATCTAGTTTGCCTTAGAGCACAAGGCCTGGATGCACAGGCTATAAAACCATTCAGCTAAATAGTTCCCACTAATTGATTACCAATTCTGTTTATAATGCTTAGATTGACTATTTGGACTGTTTTATATGTGGCATCATTCCAGTGTTATTCCAGATCCACACTTTTTGCTGTGCCAGGTGACCATCTATCTTTTGCAGCTTTCTGTACAGAGTAACAAGGACCATTACAGAGAATGGCTCTCTTTTTAAAATCATCCTCTGTTTCAGGGAAGGTAACCTTTTTTTGTCAGATGCTGCTATCAGATTTCTCTTGGTAGATGTCCCAGAATGCCAAAGCTGCAGTAAAGCCATTACAAAATAATTTCAGCAACTGCTGTGTGTTAAATGCAAACCCTATTTATACAAAAATCTAGGTTCAAATTCTTGTGCCTGTTTCTGCTGTCTGTGTGATGGAAGATAGAAGACTTTTTTTTTGTGAGAAAGGGATGGTTTCCATTTACTTGACAAAGACTTGGGAGGAAACAGTCAGATAAGAAACAGCATAGCCCACAGTTAGATAGCGGATGGAGCAAGAGGCTAGAAGGGACCTTCTGCCAATTTCTCAGGCTACAGAAGAGACAGATGAAATTGTATTTTGATACTATATTTGCAAAATTGATGGTGGTCTTGTAGGGTAAACCAGATAGGAATCACAATTGGGTGAACTAATTCTACCTTATTGTAAAGCTATATTCACAGAAACTTGAAAACATGAAAGTATGATATCTGTGCTACTCACTGCCAAGCTTCCCTTTTGAAATAGGCCTCCCTCTGCTGCTGCTACTTTTTCTCTTTCTTCCACCTCTTTGCTGTTGTCTGTTTATATGAGGAAGCAAGGAATGTAAATGTAAAGGGAAAATTAACATTTAAAAATAAGGGGGAAGGTAGTAATTTGATTGATAGAAAATTAATATAAAATACAGGCTTACTATTTTCTGTGGAACTACTATATTTTATTTTCTATAAAATAAAATGGGAAGAACTATCATTAGGTATTCACAGTTTTCCAACTTTGTAGTCATTCATAACAAATATTGAAAACTTGGTTCCAACAGACTGCTAGATACCCTACTTGTGTTCCCTGCTGCTGGGTCAACGGCTGAACCATCTGTCATTTTGTCAGCTGGAAAGATAGCAGACTAAAATCAAAGAAGAAATGCAGCCCAAATGCAGGATTGTCTCAGCCAGGATAAAGTATACTAGCATGGTCCCTTAGGTTCTGTTAATTAACTGAGGAGTGGTTCTGGGGAAATCTGGATGCTTAATGGCTTTAATTATAGAAAATGCACCGGATCTTCATTTTAGCAACGCAGCACAAGTTTAATTGCAGGAATACAAACATAATTTAAAAGGGCATTTTCATGCTCCAAAGGTCAGTGAACCTAAAAGTAGCTGGCCTAAATTGCTTTTAATCTAGTTTGATTAGGTGCAGAGCTTCCTGTGTTGTTCCTAAGGAAATGGTTTGTTTTGTCATGCCCTTGGGTATATAAGGAATCCTTGTTGCTGGATGCCAGATCCTCTCATGAAAAGCAGTTTGACCAGGTAGGTTCTCAGATTTCATTCAGCTGTCAGAGGACCAGATTCTACACTAACAAATGGTGCTGTTGCTTAATGACCCTTTGGAAAATAGAAGAAAGAGATTTGAAATAGAGAGATGGCAGTGATGGTGAAGGTGATGGAGGTGGGATTGTTATTGTTATCCAGATTGATATTGCTCCTCTTCAAATCCTCCTTCCCCCAGATGGCTTCTCCGTGACATTCAGTTTTTTCAAAACAACAACAACAACAACAAAAACCCCTAAAGCAAATTTTCTTTCCTTAAATTGAATTAACACTTGACAAAGCAAAAAATGTGCAGCAGAATTTCTCAGCCTGGCAGGAGTTAACAATCTTTTCACAGAGTAAATTCATCCTAGATAATGCTGCCTTTATACAGGAATTTAGCTTAGTGGACCTTAGTCTCATTCTGTACAATGAGCAGATGGGCTCTGAAGGACAGAGAGGTGGTTTACTCTCATTTAAAACAAACAAAATAATCATCCCTAATGGAATGATTATACAGTGAGAAACAACTGCCCACAGCCATGTCATAACTAATGTACATGGAACAGCACTATATTCCACAATTTCACTACCTTTTCTTTAGTTGGAAAGTATCTTCCTCCCAAATGTTTGAGTGAAATGGTTTACAAAAGCACTGATGTTTTTGATACAATACTGATGTGAGCAGTTTCTACCTCCACAGAATGAGATAGTCTTAATTTACTCCCCCCCCCACACACAAACCAAATCCATGCACCTATGGAGCAAAACAGCACCACATAAATGCTTTAGGGTGGTGTGTGTAGGAATATATAGTAGCTTGCCATGTAGAAAGATGATAAACTGCTGATAAACATAGATGGCTGTAACTACTGATGAGGACAAGTCTAATCCATAGGGCAAGGGATAAGATGGCATCTACCTTCCCATTCTACACACAGAAGACAAAACTATTTGTGCTGGAATATTATTTTTAATGTGGGCAAGGGAGTAGAGTCTTTCACTTCATCTGAAATTCATCACTGGATGGGGTGGACTTTAGCTGCCAAATTCTCAGTTGGCTGAGATTTATAGAAGTTAAAATTGGCACAGCTGGAAGGTACCAGGTTACAGAAGATTGGTTAGGAGTACAGTTAGGATTCAGGAAAAATAGCACCTATGGTACCTGCCTCATTCTGTCTACTATTGCATTTAGGTGCAAATGTACATTCTTCCTACAAGGTTGCATCATAATTCTGTACACAACTTCTGAAAATTATATTTTGGAAAATTCACAGTAGAAGTAATCCTTTCAAGTTCTAGTCCAGAAGAATTTCTTTTTCTGTTTCCTATGCTTTTAAATTACAGAGCTCCAGTTTTGAACATGGTAGCCTTCAAGGTTGTCTCTCTCCTTCTGATCTCTCTCAGTTTTGTGCTGATGGAAGAAAATAGCATCAGGTAAATACACAAATGGGGATACGTTGATCATTCATTTTTTTGTCACTTCCATTAGAAAGTTACCTCTGCATCAATATTGAGCAAAACTGAGGCATAGAATCAAAATCACGCAAGGTATTAGTACCACTTTATAAAACCCTAGTAAGACCACACCGGGAATACTGCAGCTAATTTTGGTCACCAAATAAATCACAAAAAAAGATGTTGAGAGTCTGGAAACTCTTTTTAAAAGATTTTTAAGAAGAGGCTAGACAGTCACTTGATATAGGTTCTCCTGCTTAAGCGGGGTATAGGTTCTCCTGCTTAAGCGGGGGGCTGGACTAGAAGACCTCCAAGGTCCCTTCCAGCTCTATTCTATTCTATTCTATTCTATTCTATTCTATTCTATTCTATTCTATTCCCTTCAACTGGGCAAAACGGTGCATCACAGGGTAACAATTTTTCAGCCAAAGTGGGCTAACTCATAGAATGAATTCAAAATTTGTATCATGATCCCTATGGGATAGAAATTTGACAAAATGGTGGCCACTTCAGGCCTGTCACTTTGCCATACTGCTACCTGAAGTTTCACTAGACTGGTTCTGTCTTAGCTCTCCAGAGGCTGGGTAGATTGGTAGATCAGTCCCTTCATCAGCTGCCAAGAACTTGAAAGTTTGCTCCTATACATTTCAGATAAATGCTCATCCAATCTCTTCTTAAAACCTTCACTGATGAAGCACCTACAATTTCCGAAGTTGCACTGATTAATTGTTCTGTCAGGAAATTTCTCCTTAATTCTAGGTTGGTTCTCCCCTTGGATTAGTTTCCATCTATTATTTCGTATCCTGCTCTTAGGTGCTTTGGAACAGCGGTCCCCAACCTTTTTGGCATCAGGGATCAGTTTCGTGGAAGACAATTTTTCCACAGACCGGGGGGGGGGGGAGGAGAAAGTCTTATATGCTATCTAGATCCTATGCGTGCACAGAATTAAGCTTCACTCACTTGCACAGCCCAGTTCCTATCAGGCTATGGATCGAGGGAAATGGGGACCCCTGCTTTGGAAAATAGGTTTATCCTCCCTTCTTTCTGATAGCCCCTTATATATTGGAAGACTGCTATCAGTACACCCCTAGTCCTTTTTTTCGTTAGACTAGACATAGCTAGTTCCTGAAACTATTCTTCATATGTTTTAGCCTCAAGTCCCCTAATCATCTTTGTGATCTTCTCTGCACTCTTTTGGAATACAGAGTTTTGTTTGGGACTATACCAAATCTGCAGATTATTTCTTGCCACATTGAAACATTGAGTTAAAGGATACTTAAATTAAAAGGAGATCATAATCGTAATTATTGTTATTAATTAAAGTTGTATGCCAACTCACAACATCTCCGGGTGAAAACTAAGTATTGGTCTCAGATCTTAAAGCTGAATTCAGATGGTCTTCTAAATGATTATTTGAAGTTTTTTTTAATGGCTTTCCCTTTTTGTACTTCCCCTGCATGCATTCCTAATGTGACAAACCATGTTGAATCAATAAATTGTTAGAAGATTTATCCCCCTAAATTGAAAAGAGGAACTGATTTCTCACAGTACATACTTGATTAGGTTCAGTCACTGTGCTCAGCATAAAGGGTTAGTTTTAGCTTGTCATGCAGGGCAAACCCAATAAAACAGCATTTCTTCAAGAAACTATAGTTATCCAGACCATATCTTGTTGCAATATGCAAACTTGGCCCATGTGTTTTCCTCTGTATTCTTAGGGAAAATCTAAGAAACTCCACATTTCTGCAAAGGCGATATTCTGAGGGTACTTTGGCAAGTGATTACAGTCGAACTTTGGACAACATGCTGAAGAAGAATTTTGTGGAGTGGCTCTTGAATCATAGGGAGAACAAGAATGAGTAAGTCAATATCACAGATTGTTTTGATTTATCCAGGATAAGGAATATATTAGTCAATCTGTAGCTTGAAAGGTTGAGTGCACGTGTAAGAAAAGGAAAATCATATAAGAAGCTCATTATTGTTTTCTACTTCATAGCAGTGTTAAAAATGAGCCAGCTGAATACTTACAATATGCCCAATAACATTGGAGAAATGAATTTCAGGGGGAAAAGATTGACTTCAGTTAAAATGTATGTTCAGTACCAATCATCCACAACTTGGTGCTGCAATTTATGTAATTCTCCCTCAGTTATGATAATTGATGCCTTCATATGTCTAGATGTTGGTATGAAAGATTAAAAAAAATCTGTGATTTATAAACCAAAAATTAACAAAAGCCTATAGTGTATTTCATGCATACAATATGCTTTTCTTTTGTATAAAATGTTCACTATGATTCAGCAAGACATTTCGAGTAGGAGTAGTCATATAAGATATCTGCAGTTTCTCTGGATGGTGTCTATGAATTGACAAAATTAAATATAATATTCCAATTAAAATTATAAATGACCAAAGTCTTGTGCAATCTTATAAAGAATATATGAGGTCCTAGGGCTCAAATTATAAACATTTTAGAAGCTTTGACCACCTCTTTAGATTTTGGTCATTCCCCCCCCCCCCCCATTTTGGCATGAATTATGGTATCCGTTATTTTAGCCTGGAGATAAATAAAATCACTCATGCAGCAAAGCAATTTTAAACTTTAATTAATATAATGAATTAGACTTAATGATATTATAGTGGGGTCTCAAAAGTTAGATGGCCTTGCAATTATCTCTTGATAAATTCCTTAACTTTTTACCCAAGATTCTTATCTAAGTAACACCACTGTCTAAGATCTATATTGCATGTGCTCATTTACATTAATTCACTTTATGAGTACACCAAGAAATAATTATTATTATTATGAGCTGTTCCAGATTGTACCTCCTGATACAATTAATTGCTAGAAATAATTCACTTACCGGTATATAAAGAAAAATGAAATGAATATGTGACCTTAACATTAGCTCAGATTTTCGGGAACTCTAAATTGAGTTTCAGTGGTTAGGAAAATTCTTCAAGGTAAACCAACCTCTAGTTATGATTAAGTGCCATAACTTTGCAAAATATCCTCACCCAATACTATACTGAATATATTTTAAAGGAAGAAAGAATTCACACATATTTAGTGTGGCTTCACGGACAGATTGCCATATTAATGGGCAAAAATTTCTTCTGAGGTCATTATGATTCTTAAATGGAATAACCTCTTTGGATGCTATATGAGCTTTTCAGAAATAAGAGGGAACTTGATATGATAAAATTTGATGGATAGCTATAAAGACAGATAAGTTTTTCAAAACTGAAGTGATATAGCAAGGATGAATAAAATATAGCCAATGGATCAAAGGCAGCTCAAAGTTTCAATGGCTCCAAAGACATGGAAATCTGCTGAGCAGTATTGGTACAATTTGTTATTGATTTTAATTAAAAATAAAATAAAATATATATCACAAGTATCTTTAACCCATTCCTTAACCTTTAAAGACACTCTTAAACCATAAGAATTATATAAAAGTTTCACTGTATCCATCCTTGAAGGGACATAATATCATCACCATTATTACTGAAATATTTTGTTGTTTTAACAAAAACCAAAATCTTAAAGAAATATTGGCTCAGAGAGAAAAAAAGAATCATCTATCTCTGTTTTAGACTGAAAGCAAATAGTGAAAATAATAGAGAATTGGATTAAATGCAGAAAAATGCAAGACTGCAGGCAGAAAAATCTCTTCAAAATATTCTTGCAGGCCTATTGTGGGGATAAAATTAGATGGGAGGAGAAATATGTTTGCTTCCTTTAGCTCTTAGATAAAAATAGGATATAAATTAGTAGATACGTATTGGAATGGTACTCCTTAGAATCCCTAAGTTAAACCTTTTGTACCCCTCTGCACCCCAGAAACAAACTTGAACTATCCAAGAGAAAAACTGATATCACAATGTCAAATGAAAGGAATCAAGGCAATGAAGCTGGAAGAACTCAGGAAGCAAAGGACTATGTTGGATGGCTTTTGCAAATCATTGGAAAGCAGAGGTGAGAAAAGATAACCACTGAAGATTTTATCACAAGAGAAGTGTTTGCATTCCAGATTAGAAGCAAAACCAGCCTTCTTAATCAACCACATTACCTCCAATTATTTTGGATTACAATTGTTGTCAGCCCCAATCAAGCCTACATTAGGAAAGACAAACATTGACGGTGGGAACTCTATGACTGCAATAATGCATTTTAACCACTTCACTACAATGGCTTTGGAAACCATGGTCTACAAACTAAAGTGGCTGTGATCACACAGAAACTATTCTTTAAGAAAGCACCTCCCAAGCTTACTTTGTTTCATCCAGCCCTTGTAGGATATGTGATAATTTTTAACAGATGGTTTTACTTTTTCTTCTATTTTCTAACTTTCCAGAAAATTCCAAATTAATTTGAGGCTATGGGGAGACATTAAATTCATATTAAAGTTTTCCTGGCTTCTGTTCCACCCCAGATTTCAAACAGCTAATGTTGAGGGAGAGAAAGGAGGTATCTGCCTTTTGGAGCATTAAAGGTGGCATTTCTCTCTCGTGTCTCTTCTCGAGTATCCTCCCCCTGTATGGCAAGCAAAGCTGTTACATCCACGGCATCTGATGGAATAAGTTGCAGCTCATGAAAACTTATGTCTTTTAATAAAATGCATTATTACAGTATTCAGAGAAGATGCTATCAGATTCCTCTTGATTTTTTTTTTAAACTCAGAACAATTTCCATGAAGTCTGATCTCTTTCCGATATACTTTCATTTTGAACAACAGTTTGGTTAAGCAAAAGCAAAGGCACAAAAGACTGAAAATAAAATATTATAAAAGTGAAGAATACAACTCACATTTTGTATATTTACTGAGACAATTTAACTAGGCATAAACTTCAGCTTTGCTATATACAAAGGGAATATACTAGTTTTTAATTTAGGCTCTTGAATTGTATTTTCTTCTGTGCTACAGATTAAGTTTGATGGGTATAACCAATTACAAGTTGGTGTCAACTCTTAGTGACCACATAGATTTTATTTCCAGGAATTTTGTAATGTATTCATTATATTTTAATTCATTTATATACATTGTGCATATTATATTTTTAAGCACTATTCTGGGTAGAATGATGTAATGTATATAATAATTAACTACATTTAATTTTTAGAGATATTTCATTAGTTGAGGATATAGATCCCACAGTTCATCTGGCAGTCATTATGACAGACTGATGGCCTTTTTTTTTCATTTCCCCCCCCCCCCCCAAAGGCTGATCTGTTTTTAATCTACCTGTTCTCATTCCAAACGTCTTCTAAATGCTGTAGACAGAAATAGCTATCAAGTATAACATTTTTATGAAATGCCCTAATGGGCTGTGCATACTGAAAGACGCACCACATTCCTAGGTGCTGGCCTAATATTTTTGGTTGCCTAAGCAACTATGAATTTTGGGGGGTGTTTCTCTCAAACTCCATCCAGCAAATTAATAACTCTTTCTTTTATTTGCTTGTCTTAAGTTTCTGAGATTCTATGGTCTTTCTCTTATAGACTTTCCTTTCTAATGGATTCAGATGAATGGAAGAACAACCAGAGGCAAGAATTTTTGGCGTGGCTGATTTTTGCTGACCTCTGTAAGCTAGTGTGAGTAAATCATTCCTTTGTTCCCATCTTCCTTGTTCTGAAGACAGGATCAAATCAACTGTACATAAAAGCACATGGTAGTTTTCATGGGTCTTTCATTGAAACACAAAAACAGTATCCTATCTACTGAGAGATCCACAGTCAAAATATATGTGATAGGACTTCTCAGATATTATTCATTGTTGCTGGTAAGTAATCATACATTTATTGCTTTAAAAGGGAGGAGAGATACTGTTTACTGTAATTATTTGCAGAAACGTCATTCAAACAATATTTTGAAATTATTTAAGGTGAAAAATTTGTTTGGAATTTATAATGTATGGATAAAAATGGTTGTATTGATCATACACTGTCTTTTTTCCTCAAATCATCAAGCTATTACCAAACTAGATTTTTTACCATCCTCATTTATAATTTTTCAGGATTCCATAGATTCCTAAAGAAAAAAGCTGGATCTACTTTTCCTTTCTCAACTTGAAGTTTCCATTTTGTACCCTTTATTAATGACTTTGTCATTACTGACACTGACAATAAATTATTTATTCTCAAGTCAAGAAATGATTTAGTTTGTTATTCAATAAGAAAAGAAATGGGGATAGGGGATTTCTGTTAGGGGCCACAATAGAGGCTATTAATAGTTGTCATTGTTCCCAGTCAGTATACTCATGGAGCTTGTAGTCCAACAAAACAAAAGAGCATCTGGTTGGAAAAGGTTGTTATTTGTTAATTGGTGAGCTATTACAGGTTGTGGATGAAATCCTGGAAGAGCTTCACATTCCATTTCTAAGTCATTCAGTGATTTGAGGTTTCTAACATTCATCTCAAACAGGCTGAGATTTAGACAACTGATCAGAGGTTATGGACAATTAAGAGTCAGATCCTTCAATTATCCTGGAAAATAAAAACAATTTAGGAGAGAAAAACAGTATCTTCAAAACTGAGAATTGCAGAGAAATTTGAAAATAAGGAACAAAAATCTCTAATTCTCTGGATGCTGCAATGAGGAAAAGTTGAGCTTTTGCATCTCCAAATAAACAGAATATATTTTGTGTGAAAACAGATTAGTATAAATGGACAACCTCTTCCTCAACTAAAGTTGCAGAGCTTGGCTTTTGTCTCCTGTTCTCCTTGTAAGCTTGAAGAGAATCTGGTGTCAAGGATAGGATGAGGAATATAAAAGGAACACAGAAACAAAAAGCAGATAGAGAGGACAAATGGTGAGAAAGAGATGGCTTTTGGGGGGGCTGGCCTGTCACCAGAAGAAATGAAGCATGCTCACAACAGCCTGGAGCATTCAAAGCACACTTTGAAAGTAAATTCACAATAGGACTGTGACAGCAAAACACCTTATATATAATGGGGGGACAAAGTATTACAGGTAGTCCTTGATTTACAACCACAATAGAGCCTAATATTTCCATTGCTAAGCAAAGCAGTTGTTAAGTAAGTTTTGCCCCATTTTACAATCTTTTTTGCCCCAGTTGTTACGTAAATCATGTAGTTGTTAAGCAAATCTGATTTCCCCATTGACTATGCTTGTTGGAAGCCAGTTGGGAAGATCAAAATGGTGATTACCTGGCCCCAGGACAGTGCAACTGTCATAAATACATGCCAATTGCCAAGCAGCCAAATTTTGATCACATGATCATGGGGATATTGCAACAGTTGTCTGTGAAAACTGGTCATTAGTCACTTTTTTCAGTGCCATTGTAATATTGAACAGTCACTAAACAAATGTCTATGGAGATTCTCAGTCATCCAGGTCATAGTTGTCCCAAAGGTGCTTTTTCAAGAGGCAACTGGACTTTGTTTTTCTTTGAAGACATTTCGCTTCTCATCCAAGAACTTCTTTAGCTCTGACTGGATGGTGGGGATTGGAAGGATTTACATTCCTTGCTGACAGCTGATCATTTGCATTCTTTTAGAGCACAGGTGTCAAACATCACGTGACATGTCGTGACGTATCGTGACTTTTTTGCCATTGCCAGCAATGGGGTGGGTGCAGTTTTGCTATGATGCATCTGGCCCATGGGCCAGCAGTTTAACACCCCTGTTTTAGAGAATCATTGAGGCCACTTGTCCTCAGGATCACCGAAGTAGTGCAAATGGGTATGGAGCCTTTTTGGAACTGCTGAAAGGATTGTAATGTGGAGCTGTGCTGTAGGATGTTTTCTGCCTTGTGTTCCTTCACTGTTTAACACAGGTGCAAGCTGCTAGGGATTAGTCTGTGTTGTCTGCATCTCAAACTAAAGTGCAAATTGTTCCTGTAGTCTGCAATTTTTCTGGAAATCTGTTCATGCACCCTTCAAAGGATTACTTCCATTCCCCACCATCCAGTCAGAGATGAAGAAACTTCTGGATGAGAAGCAAAATGTCATAAAAAAAAGCAAGAAAGTCCAGTTGCCTCTTGAAAAAGCACCTTTGGGACACCAAACAGATGGTTCTAAATCAACTACCTGTACAGATTACATATATCTTGAAGAAATGGGACAGTTTACACAATGGGAAAAATATGATTTATTAGGCATAGGTAATAACAAAGTCAAGATAGAAAAGTACTGTTGTCAAGGAATAATTAAGTACATGGAATTATACAATCCTATAAACTTTGTGATGAGGCATGTGCAACAGTATCCTTCCCCAGACTGGCACTCTCCAAATGTGTTGGCCCATGACTCCCAAAATTCCCAACACTGAGAGGTTTGGGTCTTAAGATCCCAAAATATCTGGAAAACTCTTAAGTTCAAGAAGACTCATAAGTCACCATGGTTGTGTCTCCACAATGTGCTAAACTATTAGCTGGACCATATTTTACTAAATTATCCCATCTGCTGGATTCACAAAATACAGAACCATAAACCAACCATATTAGTTGGATTCACACAATACACTGAACCATAATTAACCAACCACATTTAATCTCTCGTATTAGAAAAACTAATACTTTCTCAAAATTCTTGAAGGCTACCACTGCAGCCCATTTCTTTACTTGCTGAAGTAAAAAGACTTAACTTGGGAGAGAAATATCTTTCTTTTGCCAGCAAGTGTGTAATTTTGACATATGTGTATTTATTACAATATTAAAGTGCCTATTTTCTGGCTTTCATCTGGTTGTTCCGAAAGCGTGCAGCATTTTATCATTATAGTTCTGAACATCCTTCCTCGGCTGACGTCCACCAGTGCTGTTACAGTCCCCGCACGGAAGGTTGTGCATCATGGGGGCTGCAGTCCGGTGCCTCTAGACAGCAAAAGGTTGGGGGAGGTCGATTGAAGATGTCACAAGGGCTTTGGCGAATATTTCTCTCTTTAGCCTCCGTTCCCTTTTTAGGATTTTAGTATCAGACAAATAAAGTGGAAGAAACCTTCTACCTTTCAAGTCAAACAGCTTATTTGTCAGAGTGATGAGAGAATTGAAGAAAATTTATCAATCCAGGCGAACTTCCTGCTTGTCGCATGCTGATGACGTACTGAAGAGGGACGGGGTTAGTCATATGGTCAATTGCCTCCAGTGCTGCCTTCCTCCTCGAACAGTTCAGATCCGAAGGCTGCGTTCTCCTTCTCCCTCCCCCGTGCAAAGATGCACCGCCGGGGCGTGGGGGCCGGCGCCATCGCCAAAAAAAAGTTGGCAGAGGTGAGGTCCTTCCCTTCAGACGAGTGAAGTTCCTCTTTCCTCTCCCGCTCTTACCTATCTTATCCTTTCCCGAAGAAAAGGGTTTCACTTCCTAGCGAAAAGTGCTGGGAGTTTTCTGGTTTCCGCCTCTGGGATGTCGTGTATCCAAGTGGTGAGGGGGCTTGGGTCGGGGTTGAAGGGGACTAGAGAATAGTGGGGGGGGGGGAGATACTTTGCACATGCCCAGAGGTATATTCCTCTTCAGTAATGATTGTGCTAGAAATTAACTCGTGGAATTTCTTATTTCTTATTCTTTTTTTTTTTCTCTCATTCAGTTCTAGTGCTAATCAGCTTCTTTTCTGCTCCGGAAAGTTAGTCCACTTTACATTCTTTCTTTAATTCATCTCTGAAAAATGATTACATCCCATTTTCCTCTATTATCCATACTTTAGAAGGACTGATATTCTATCAGATTTATTTATCAAATGTATATGCTGCTCACCTCATGGTTTGAGGTGACTGAGTGGCTTACAACATAAAAATATGAATGTAAAAACTATTAAGTATAAAAACAGATTAAAATTACAAATAATTAAAACTAGAGAGCGGAAGATGGTGATGACTTCTCTGTTATTACAGTAGCCATCTCCAGTCAATAGTTTATCCTTCAAGACCCCATGCCATTTGGCATAGGCAAGTTTTAAGATATTTCCTGAAGGTCAGAAGGGTGGGGGAGATGTCATCTCCTGCAGCAAGATGTTCCAAAAGCAGGGCCATGCAAAAAAAGGCTCTTCTGTATCCCACCAGCCACAAGTCCTTGGTTGATGCGGTCCACAGTAGGCCACTTCTGCTAGCATGAGGAGGGCAGGAGGGCATACTTAGCTTTGCCTTGTAGAAAGGAAAGTTAACAAAGCCTTTTATAAATATTTATGGAAAATTATATTCTCATTAGTAGAAAAATTAAGCCTTTAGTATCAAAATATGTCATGGAGAAAATCTATGTGATCACTAAGAGTCAGTATGAATAGCACAATCATAATATGACTAAAAGTATCAGCAATAATATTAAAATTAATGATTTCTTTTCTTAGGCCAAATATAAGGAACGTGGGACAGTTTTGGCTGAAGACCAGTTAGCCCAGGTGAGATAAGAAAATGTCTACATTTGTTTTTTTGAATTGGAAGGATATCTGTAGCTCTAATCCCAGGCATTAAGCTGTAACCCTAAGCTTCTATACAAAATGTATATATAATTTATGGAACTTGATTACAGAAGGTATTGAAATGATCAAAAATATCAGCAGGTTGGAGAAAAGACTAGAAAGGTTCTATGTAGAAAATGTGTGATAGTAATATTTAAACACCTGCAAACTTCCTATAAATTCTGGTCTTTTTCAGTAGATTGTCTCTTGGGATAGATCAGTGATGGCAAACCTTTTAGAGACCAAGTGCCCAAAAACTGGCCCTGCCCACACTCCACCTCCCTGCTCCACCGCCGCTCTGCCCCCCCATCCCCCACCCCACCTGCCCACAGGACCACTCACCACCTCCAGGGCCCACCACAGATCGCCCAGGCAGCCCAGCAGCGCTATGGCGGCCACACCCTCGCCCGTGTCCTGCAGCATCAACTGCATGATGGGGTGTGAGGGCAGAGTCTTGTCTACACTGCCTGGCTGCCATGTCCTTGGCTGCGATGCTCCGTGTGGGCCACCCTCAAGGGCGACTCTCCTTCAGGGGGGCTGCTGGAGAGGAGAGGGTCATGGGGGGAGGCAAGGCTGGGGCAACAGCACGTGTGCCCACAGAAAGGGCTCCGAGTGCCGCCTCTGGCACCCGTGCCATAGGTTCGCCACCACTGGGATAGATGATTCATTGAATTAAAGCATTATTTTGAAAACTGATATTTGAATTGGAGAATATGTTGTGCAATGTGTTATCTTGTGTGGAAGGTTATTTAAAAGATTCTGTAGTAATATTTCCAAACCAGCTAATTTTGTTACTCTATTATCTTTTCCAAATACATTTACAGATGTCTAAGCAGCTGGAGACGTTTAAAAGCAACCTAGAAGAGTTTGCTAGTAAACACAAACAAGAAATCCGTAAAAATCCTGAGTTCAGAGTCCAGTTCCAAAATATGTGTGCAACAATTGGTGTTGATCCACTAGCCTGTAAGCAATGGGGAAGGAGTGGAAATCTTTGATGGGGGAACCATAGCTCCTCAGTTGATGTTGAATACAACTAGCATTTCTCGGTTAGCTGCAGGTATTGGTAATTACGCAATATCTGGTCTTCTCTGTGCTTTAGATATAAAGATGGTGTGTGATGAGGATTATTTACAGCCAACAAAAATTAGAATAAAGAAATAGCCATGAAACTTTTTAGCAGATGGGAAATCTCTAGAATAGCCTAGTAAATAGTCCACAAGTATGACTAATCTTCAGAGTGTTTCTCCCAAAATCATGCTAAGATTTAAAGGCCTTAGAGGAGTGGGAAATCATGTAGAAATGCAGAATTATATGATAGTAAAATAGCTTCCTACCAAGGAAACTGAAAAGGTATGGATGAGCAATACAAAATGGAAGGAAGAACAAAGAACATATTGTTTATTTCAGTGTTTCTCAACCTCACCAACATTGAAATGTGTGGACTTCAACTCTGGGATGGGGAATTCTGGGAGCTGAAGTCCAAATATCTCAAGTTGCTGAAGTTGAAAAGTATTGTTTTATTCCATCCTTTATCAGCTTCTATTCACATACAAAGAATTCCTTGTCATCATTGGCAGCAAGGTGAGCTGTTCTGTCTTTGCCTGTTTCAGTAGGAAATGAAAATAAAAGAGGAAATGGATCAGCAATTAGACAGCAAATAGTTTCTAAAGCATAAAGAGAGGCAGTCATAATTTCCCTTTAAGGACTAGGAGACCTTGGAAAGGGGAGGAATATCTCTGAGAAAATGCATAGCTCATTTTTCCCCCCTAAAATAACATAACTTTTTCCTTTTTTTTTGCAGCTGGTAAAGGATTCTGGTCAGAAATGTTGGGTGTCGGAGATTTTTACTATGAGTTAGGTGTCCAGATTATTGAAGTCTGCTTGGCTCTCAAGCACAGAAATGGAGGTGAGTGTATTTAGTAATTCACATGCAGGGCCCAACTTTCTTCTTCTGAATTTTATTGGTAAAATGCTCTACATGTAGGAGGTCTTCAGCGTCCATTCCCACCTATCTCCCCCTATCAAATTAATGTGTTTCTTAGGCCTTTTTTATTTTTCTGGAATGTTAAGGAAGAGGGAGGCCCTCATATTCTCACCCACTTTCCCCTTAAAATTCAAATGAAAGTTTATTTTTTCCCCACCTGGTGTGGTGAGGTTGCTTACCTTCCTTCCCAAGCCTTGGAAACTTGAGTTTCTAAATTACAACCCCTAAGCCCACTTTCATTGCCCATTTCTGTAATAATATGCTTTTGTGATTATCATAGCTTCCAAAATTTTTGGATACCTGAATGTTGTCTTACAGAAATGTTAACAATCCAGTGTTATGTATCATAACTAAGAAATTAATTCCATTAATTTAAGTACGTACAACCTAGTATAAAATCCTTACCACTTTTGCTACCAAGTAATCTATTTTTGGAGACACTTAATTTGAGAGAGTAGCCTTAAAAGCTTTACACATATCTCCTATGCTGCAGCCTGTTTCACATATTCTGCTAAGTCAAGATGAGTACGCTATGTGCAGCCCAGTAGCTCTTTTAAAGACTCCCAGAGTGGGTAGCTCCTTGTTTGCAGGATTAAAAGACAAGCTCCCATTTTTCTCCCCAAAACGATGAGAAATTTGACTGTGTCTGTTTAGTGGCTTCATAACATGGCTTTATGCTCATTTTTTCTTTAAAAGAATTTCACTGCAATCCTATACACTTTTATTCAAAAGCAAGTCTAACTGTGAGGGTGAAGGTTAATTCTCTGAGCTTATGGGTTGGTTTCCAAACATTTATTTACCAGGCTAAGTAACATCTTCAGCGGAGTTTAGGGATGTCGGTGTCACTGTTTTTCTGTTTATAAAGACTTCAAGTGTGGGTATGTTGAGTGAAGGTCTGTGATGAGTCAGGTGTGAGTCAGTAGTGAGTTTTGTGACGGGTCTTGTGATGGAGAGGTTACCTCAGGTCAGGGTTATTGAGAGGTGAAGATGTGGGGGGGCTTGCATGGATCGGTTGAGGGTCGGTGCTGTCTCTGGTTGGCTGTGTGGTTGATTTGGATTTTGGATTCTGAGACGTTTGTAGGCTGATTGTAGCATGGCCGATGATTTGTGTGTTTCTCCAATCAAACTGGTGCTGTTTGGTGTCGGGGTGGGTAGAGATTAAGGATTTGGGATTGTGGCATTTGACTGCCAGCCGGTGTTTATGGATCCTGGTTTTTAATTGACATTTGGTTACAGCTGATTTTTGTAGATTACAATGTTTCTTTCATCCTTCTGTATCTTGTCTTTGGTTCTGGATAATTCCTGGTGGAATGTGGCTGTGGGTTTGTGAGCTATTGCTATTCCTCGGGTTGGAGAATTTTGGCTGTCATTTCTGACACCCTTTTGTGTATGATAAGGTTAGTTTTTGCATGGTAGTTGGCTATGTGGTGTGGTGTGGTTTGGGTGGTGTGTGTCAGAGTATGAAGTTTTTTGTATAGCTGTTATGGAGAAATACATCAAGCAGTCGTTTCTCTTCTGCTTTTCTTAGTATTGTGGTACTACAGTGTGTCCTGGCCCTTCTTAAGAGGATTTGGACACAGCTTCTTTTGTGTGCGGTGGGGTGGTTGATTGCAAAGCTGAGGACCTGGTCCGTGTGTGTGGGTTTGCAGTAGACGTTGGTTTCCAGTTCTCCATTGTCTAGTCTATTTATGTTGATGTCCAATCCAACTGTATTCAATGGAACTTACATCTTGGTAAGCGTCTGGGATGGCAGCAAAATTGTATGCATGCCTATTAAGAAACGAGCCTCATTTAGTTAGTGAGATTTATCAGAGATTCTATATATATCAGCCTTCTTTAACCTAGTTTCCATTGAGACTACAACTCACTAAAGTTTTGACTAATATGGGTTTACAGTCCTGATATCCACAGATGGCAGCAACTTGGGGGAAATTCGTTTATACAATTACAGTCTTAATTTACAGAATCTTTGGTAGGATTCAACTTTTCTTACAATTTACCACTTGTTTCCTTTTTCTATCTAGGATTAATAATATTGGATGAACTCCACCAACAGGTGCTCAAAGGAAGAGGAAAATTTGCTCAAGATGTTAGCCAGTAAGTTTGCATTCATGGCTATAATTTCTGCAGGGGAGTGGGAGAGCTATTCGTGCCTTATTTTTCCTCTTCTGATTCCACAGAGATGATCTTATCCGAGCAATTAAGAAGCTGAAAGTTTTAGGAAATGGCTTCGGGATTCTTCCTGTTGGTGGGACATACCTGTTAATGAAAAAAATATGCAGATTATGTTAACCATAATGATTATGGTTAACATTATTTGCCGCAACCACAGTATTTTCATTAGTGATCAAGTTTTCTTGTTGAGGTATAATTCTAATATATTGTATAAAAATGAATATCTTGTTGTATCAGATATGCATACAGTTGTTTTTCAAACTTGGCAACTTTAAGAATGTATCTGTATCTTTAAGCTTTATTGACATAGGGAGTAAGCTATATACAAAATACCTTCTAAATAGACTGATTGGACAGATACTAGGCAGATTATAACAGAAGAGCAGGCAAGTTTCAGAAAGGACCACAGTACTATAGATCATTGCTTTACCTTTAACACCTGATTCACCAGTCAATAAACAGATTGCTATGCAACAATAAAAATATTTATATGCAACATTTATTGACATCATCTAATACAATAAATAGAGGGAAAGAATATCTACATTATGTGAAGACACTTACATGCAAGTATGGATAAATCACAATAGCTCCCTAATAAATCAGATTAAAACTACAAAAGGTGTCTGTCAGGATTATATATTGGACCATGTCCTCTTTAATTTTTAAATAAACAACATTGTAGAACAGTTTAAGAATCCTTCCTTTCTTGCCCCCTCAGTTGGAACCAGAAAGGCCCCTATATTATACTATATGCAGACAACATGATATTCATATCAAAAACATTAATTGGAATTAAAAGAATCCTGACAAAATTTGGCACCTACTGCAGGAAAAAGTATTTACAGATAAACTATTCTAAAACCAAGGTTTTTGTCAAAAGATCAAGAGACATGGATTTACCCTAGATGGTGAGGAGACAAGTGGGAAAGGACAAGTGAGGTCATTTAAATATTTGGTTATCCAATTTACTGAAGCTGTTATCATGAAATCACATATAGCATTAACAAGAACAATAGCCACGAGATCCATGAGAGCCATTTGCTCCTTCTCCTCAAAAGCAAGACGGTTAGTACAGTCTATCCTCAAGATCTTTTCTAGGAAAGCAATACAACAGTTAATATGCGGGGGGAGTAATGTCTGAAGGATTTCTCAGAAAGACACCTTGAGCTGCCCCCCTTTCTCTCTCATAACCTGTCTCTCACAGTAAGGAGTTATACAAGTTTGAAGTTCTCTGTGTCTCACTGCAAATATTATTTTGCCATTGTTTGAATTTTTGAGGGTCAACATTGGCTTCCTAACATCTTTATAGCCATAAAGGATAGAAATTTGTCTTTTTGTGTATAGGCTTTGACACAAATACTGTGATTGTTGAGAATTCATTCTGCAATTTTCTGTGTATTTTGAGTAGGTGATTTTGAGGAATTGAAACGTATTGCCTTGGAAATAGTTGAAAATTTCTGCTATTCGTGCCTTATTTTTCCTCTTCTGATTCCACAGAGATGACCTTATCCGAGCAATTAAGAAGCTGAAAGTTTTAGGAAATGGCTTCGGGATTCTTCCTGTTGGTGGGACATACCTGATCCAGTCTGTGCCAGCTGAACTAAACATGGATCACACTGTTGTGATACAGCTTGCTGAGGTGCCTATACTAGAAAAGAATGAGTGAATGGAATCATGAATGTGGAGACTTATTTCGATTTAGCCAGTTGTGGAAAGTTTTTAAAATTTAACATGAAAGTAAATAAGTGCTTCTGCATGTTGAATTGGAGATTTGAATAGGAACTACAGCAGAAGAGATAAATTCAGGAATTGTATGATAATAGTTTGGTGAGAGGAAAATTAATTCTCCTTTTTTTGCATGCTGCAGTCCTAATCTGGATTGCGTCCTATATGTTTATTAAAAATATAAACAAATAAGTAAGTAGTTGGGAAACATATTTATGGCAATATAAAGATGAATGCATTTAATAATTATTCATGGATCACAATTCCTTTAATCTAACATATATTATGCTTATTTCACAGAACTATGCACATGAGCTATGCACTTAAACCACATGCAGTTAATAAACCAATACCAAACTATCATTTCAAACTGTCTTATTACCCTAACAATTATTCAGATCTCTATTCATGCTAAACAAAAAACAAAGATATTGTACGTTTCATATTAGACAGCATATGAACAAAGCAATTCTTTTACCCAATCTGCACTGTTCAGTCTTAGCTGTTCTTTCCCCAGACAAATTTTAGAATTCTGTGAATTAGGCTTAAGTAAGTCCTATTTCATTAGGAGAAAATGTGGTAAGGAAATCTTTTCTAAAATCAATTTAAAATCAGAGATATTGGGATGTTATTTGATGTTTGGGCATGCAAAACACATGCTCTGCTTTTAGTATATTTTCTCCCAAACAGCAGTCACTAAATGTATTTTATTCTTTTTATTTTTTATGCATTCTTTTTCTGCCTTGGCAAATTTACTGAAATCCTATTTTTTCCATTCTTAATTTCAGAAAAAGGGGTATGTGACTATAAGTGAAATCAAGTCCAGTTTAAAATGGGAAATGGAACGAGCCAAGCAAGTGCTGGTATGTCAGTAATTTGGACTTATAAAAAGAAAGAACGGCCTGAATTTGGTAGTTTAAAATGCAGATTTTATAAAAGTTGAAAATACTGTTTTCTCCAGAGGCTGATAATATTTACAGAATCCTCATATGGCATCTGGTTTGTTTAATTAATTAATTAACGGGACCACCATCACACTATCTTCTGTAATATTTTAGTATTTGTTCTTGAAATCTTTCTTGTTTCCAGGCAACCATCAGAGCCATGTAATTTGGAGCAAGATCATTGAAATATAGGGAAAGAGGCTTTTTCAACTTTTTTTAAAAAAAATATGTATCTATTATTGTTTGAGTTGACTCAGTGGTATATAAAAAAAAGATTGTTGAGCTTTCCATTGTGTCAAGATATCTATAATTATATAATTATGAATTTCTCCCCATTTGGCATTTCATTCAGTCTGTTGTTTCCACCTTCTCTTCCGAATAGGAGCCAGTGTTCCATGGTCACCAAACATGCTCACTACTTATGACTGTTCATGCCACCATCCACTTGCTTTTGATTACTGTTTATTTATTTCTTCTCCCTTCTTCACCAACAAATATATTGTGGCTTTTTACAGGATCATTTGCTGAAGGAAGGGATGGCCTGGCTTGATACACAAGCTCCAGGAGAGCCACAGTACTGGCTACCTGCCCTCTTTACAGAACTGTACTCTCAGGAAATCACACCAGAAGAAGCAAAGGAAGCTTTACCTTGACAATATCAAAGATGAGTAATAACTGAACATTTGCTGATTGTTAATTTGGTAACATTGAACGGTAGTTATTATTTTGGATCTTAAAATATTTATAAGGAAATATCTGCTTTGCTAATACCTAATTTCGGCATGTATTTGATACTAAATGTGGATTTCTGCCAAATGAAGATTTTTATTTCATTAGCAAGTTTCTAGTTCTTGTAATGAGGATGAGATGGCAGGAGGAAATCTGTCCAAAATTGTAGCCTTTTCTTTCAGTTCTTCTAAATGTTTAGAATGAGGATTGATGTCAGATGCTAAAACTGTTTGATTTCTTTTCATTTGCTTATCCCAAGTTTGTTGAGTAGTATATTGGCTGAACTGTATACATACTGAATCCCTTCACTTCTGTACGTTTCTGTATGATGAAACAGCTGGACTTCTTTATTGCTACTTGGATTTTGGGTAAAGGACCAAACTATTATTATTATTTCCAACTTATGTATCATTGGAGGTTTGCACAATTTCATTGTTTTAAAAAAAAGCAAGAATATCTTGAAAGACAGTTTAGAAAGTCATGGGTAAAACTTAGTTCAATTTCAGCCATTCAGGCAGTCAGGGTTTCTCTGATCTGAGATACTGTGTGAAAACATACCTTCACAACCGTAACCATGTTGTGCCTTAGCATGTTGAAATCTGTAAACAGTATATTCTTCCATATTTGTGCAGTGCACATAAAAATTTGAAATTCATAAAGCTATGTATTAAACTTCATGTTGTGGGTATAAAATTTTATTGACCGTTTGAAAAATCATTGACTGCATTGAAGTCTTACTGATTTCCATAAATCAATAAGCTTATGTTCTGAATATAATTCATGGATATAAAAAACAGATAGGATAAAACTTATTTGAGTTACTTAGGCTGGTAGAAGAATTTTCTGTAGCTATATTCACAGATCATGCTGTGTGCAAGAAGAAACTGCTTCCTGTAACATCCTAAGAATCATCTTACGACTTCATACAAAATACAAGGAAGAATTTATTGGGGATAATTTATGTGCAGAGTTGGACTGCTATAGATTGATGCCCTATCCAGTGGTGTTGAGGTTACGTGTAGATCAAGAGACAGCTGTTTATCTAGAAGATGCAAGCAATTGGCTAATGACTTCCCACAAAAAAGTACCAGACAAAGTCATACTGTAGTACAGGAACTCAATCTAAGGTATGTTTTACTTCAGGGATTTTCAGAATTTTTCAACCTAATTAGTCAATTTTTTTTCAGAATTCCCTATTAAGAGATGAAACAGTACTGATAAAACATTGGCAATAAAATGAAGAGTAAACTGTTTATTTTAAATGCAAAATTAACACTTCCAATGTACAAAAAATAAAACCTGAATTTCATATGAATTTGGAAGGTTAATTTGTTAATCAAGCAGATCAGTGCTTTGGGCATTTTTCTTGTTATTCAAAAATGTACAAAAAGCCATTTTCTTTTCATGCACAATTATTTTGAAAGTCAGAACTTTTATTTTTCAGGTTGGAATGTTTGGTTTCCAAATGCCTTATAATTTTTCAGGATTCAGATTAGCCAATACTTGCAGTCAACACACTAACATTTGGTTGCTTATCTTGAAGACTATAAAAAACCAAAGTTGATAAAGGTCTGATGTTTCCATTCCTTACTTGAGCTTAACTTGTCTCATAAAAAAAGCAACACCCAACAGTCCTGGAATCTATTTAGCTTTTTTTTCTGTACCCCCTACAATTATATTAGTTTGTAACTAGTGATTGATATCTGGAAAACTATTTATTAGGCCTAATTTAAAAAAAAACATACACACCTTGAGTGTTGATGGCATGGATTTCTTCCATTTGTGATTGCACCTTCCTGTTGCCTTTGCAAACACAGTTCTATTAAGTTTACTCTGGAGAAAGTTGCATTCCAGAACAATTTCAGATATACATGCACTGCAGCCAAACAGTATAATCCTAAACTTCTTTACTAATTCCTGTAGAGCTCAATGGGACTTACTCCTAAGTAGCTATGTATGAGGGCAATTCAAAAATAAACCTCCATTTGGTTATCAATGACAGTCACTCGCAGATACAGAACTTTTATTGTACACATTAGGAAACTACATTACATTACTTTTCGACATAATTGCCATTCAAATTGAGGCACTTGACATAACGTCTTACAAGGTTTAAATTCCTTAGTAGTAGCTGCTTGGTGCCAAATCTGGGCTATGGGGGTGGTGGTCAAAAACATCCCAACGGAACTGCTTCAAAAAGTTATTGGGTGCGTCTAGCGGTATGCAGGCGAGCATTATCGTGAACCAACCCCACACCAGAAGTCAGCATGCCCCAACACTTGTTATGGATGGCTCGTCTGAGTTTTCGTAACATTACACAGTAAACTTCTGAATTGATGGTCATGAACTTCACTAGCCTTTTCACATTTGGCAGGATTTTCTATGGCACCACTTCCGGTGTGCTGGTTCACGATAATGCTTGCCCGCACACTGCTAGATGTACCAAATAACTTTTTGAAGCAGTTCCGTTGGGATGTTTTTGATGAAAACCCTCCCCATAGCCCAGATTTGGCGCCGAGCGGCTACTAAGGAATTTCAAACCTTGTAAGACATTATGTCAAGTGCCTCAATTTGAATGGCGATTATGTCGAAAAGTAATGTAATGTAGTAGTTTTCTAATGTGTATAATAGAAGTTCAGTATCTGCGAGTGTCTGTCATTGATAACCAAAGGGAGGTTTATTTCTGAACTGCCCTCGTATATAGGATACCTTCTTGAATTCACTACAGATATACACACATGCAAATACTGTCTACAATGTGGAACATGAAGGGGAAGGGAAGGAATCACCACAACCATTCTTGCAGAATCAGAATTTCCATCTCCACCTCCAATGCTTTCAGAAGAACAGAGTTTAGAACTGTTTCAAGGTCTCAGGCTGGAGCTGAACAATCTAGCTTCCAGTGGGAAATTCCAGCATTGCAGATCTGGTAATGATGCTGGAGAAATAGCATGTATTAGGTAGCTGTTCTTTCAGCCTCTGTAACACACATTGAGGGTAGGTAGCATTATTTTACCTTTCAGAAATGACACAGATGAACTCCAGATCCTGCCAAAACAAACTTTATTGCACCAAAAAAAACCCACCCCTTATGTACAACTGTATATAAACAAGGTTTCTTTATTTGAAGACCCTTGTGCATTTGTTTCTTTTTTTTTCTTAAGCTTGTTAGGTCTAAAATTATGTCACCAACATTTGTCTAGATCAGTAATCTAGGATTGTCATTTCTTAGAATGGAAACATTCAGAAGACAGATAATTATGGGCAGCTACAAAATCAGATTCCTTTTTTTCTTACACCCACATGTGACCCACATTAAAAAAAAATCACATAAGGCATTTTTCATGTTTTGCTTTAATGAAATGTATGCAATACTTCAACATGCATCTGGAGTTAAGATGCCTTGAAATCACAGTGCTCAAACCCAGAAGCACTTCTAGCCCTAGGGAATAGCATGGGGAAACCCAAATTTATTCAGTTGGCACAGAGTGCATAAGGCCTAAGTCTCACTGATTACAGCAGGACTTAAAAATTAACTGTGCACTTACATCCCTTTGATTTTGAGGGAAATAAATCTGACTTGGATTGTATCTAATGAGATTAAAATGAACATGATAAAATTAACTCTGCCTCTTGAGACCTTCCCTTTACCAAGGCATCTACACGTAAACTTGTATTGCAATGTTTTTTTCATATCCCACCAGCTATTCATGCCCCTTGGAGAGACTCCTTGGGGGGGGGGGCGAGGAAAGACAGAGAAACAATTCTACTTGGTTCTTAGGTGTAATCGGTTTTTTCAACACCCAATCTGCAGGATATTTTGAGCAGCAGAATGCCTTTTCTTATATCCCAAAAGAAGTACAAGAGCAGTTGGAAGGATACTGCCTATGAACATACAGGATGTTTAAAGGGAGAGGTGGGATGGATGGCGGATACAAGCATGGAACCCTGTACATTACTAAGCTAATGGCTGAATACAGTCTTTCCTATAGAATGGCTCCTGCTTCAGATCACATGTGCATCAACAATTAACATCAATTCCTCCAATTTTCTAAAGGCTTAGAGCCAGTTCTAAAAGTGCTAAGTCTTGTGGATTTAAAAAAATCTTCAGAAGTCTGGAACCTTTCCTGTATTATAGATGCAATCTGGAAGAATGGAGTTATGATAGATTTTATAGAAAAACTCATCCACTAGTGTGCAACTCCATATTTCAGGTTCAATAAACTCTTTATTAAAATAAGACCGGATCCTTTGATTGGATAGTTCCAACAATTTACTCCCCAGGCGTAACAGTCTAAGAGACATTGACCATATTTCTTCTTTCTCTGTCATGAAACTCCTAGCTGTGTTCTCCTTGCCTCCCAAAAATAAAGCACAGAAGCTAAAGCTACTTCAGATAAACATGCTAATTTGTTGGTGCTATTGCACTTATTTGTACTTCAGTTCTGCAATCATTACTTCTCCTATATATAACCCATCCCTGAAATTATATCCATCTTACCAGGGAGAGAAAAAGTCTTTCTCCTTTAGAGCCACCAAACATGGTCAGTAAAACGAGGTAAAGTTTGCTTTGGAAAGCTGAAGGTTAACTTGCACAGTAGGCTTAAAACGTGAATTTTAATTGTTTTCCTGGGTTGCGTTTTACTCCTTTCCTGCCTGGACTTTAGGCGAAAGTCAGAAAAACAAGAATTTAATAAAGCTGTGGAAACTTCAAAACAAAACAAAACACAAAGCCCAGTTCCAGCAGAAATTCTTCCTCTTTGGTCTGTCTAAGACAGGCAACATCAAACCAACTGGGAAGCTACAGTGCACCAGATCTGAAGAAATAGACTGTGATGTACAAATAGTCAAAAAGTGCTTTAACAAATTAAATTGCTGGGAGCCCATCAAGGCGTAGAAACAAGCTGGGAGGGAAGTGCTAGGAATATGCAGTACATTTATGAAACAAGGACAATGGAACAAGGAGCCATGCTTTATCTCATGCTCTTTGAGAATTGGCGGAACAGGAGACATAAACCTGCCTACAGGTTTTTCCAAAACGCTTTTTTTTTTTTTTTGGCGTGTCATTCACTCAGAGGTCTCCAGCAGAGGGAAGGGTCATTTCTAAAATGCAGCCTCTCACAAGCCCAGTTCAGTTTTAGCTCTTTTAACAGGATATACCTAGAGCGCTTGATGGAGATAACAAAAGGCTGTTTTTCCACTTGTGTGCTCACTCTGGAACCTAAACAGTTCTTAGGTCTCTCTGGGGTCCTCCACAGCACCTGGAGTTGGAAGATCCCACCCCCATGTTTTGGATTCCCAAGTAATCAGGTGGGAGGCATCTAAATCTTAATGCTCCCCTGAGTGTCTGTTTCCGTTTCGGAAGAGCTGCTGTCTGAGTCTATGTCTGGATTCTCCTGCTGGTGCTTCTCCTGAACCTTCAGGCGGATTCCTTGCAAACGTGCTAAAAGGGATTGGTAATCAAAGTGTCCTCGCTTCTCCCCAAAGGGGTCCTGGAAGGAAAAAAAAATGCAAATACAATAGATTTCAGGGTCATTGGCAGATCAGTAAATCGAAAGGAATTTAAGCATTCATCAAGTTAATTACTCCACTAATAAAATAATTCTTCCCTATGCACTCTAAATTACATTAACAAATGAGGGCTTGAAAAAGCTGGAAAGCGATATGTAAATTCTGTAAGAAATACTAATTGGTGGGCTCAGAATTTCTTCATTTTAATGATACATCTTCTGCTTTGGGCTTTAATTTAGAGGCCAGTTCTGATTCCTCAGTTACTTTGGCAGTCTTGAAGACATCCTTGCTTTTGCGGTAGAACATTATCCCTGATATCCTCTTTTTTTTATTCAAGGAATGTTTTCTTCTGCATGGATAATTGCAATTTGTTCTGGACAAAATGGAGGGCTGGTTTTGGCCATGCTGCCCTGCATCAAGTATCTTCAACCATTTTTTGCCTTCACCCAAAAAGGGAAGTTTTAAAACTGAAATCCCTGCAGATTGGGCTCTTTCTAAATTGAATTGCTTCAGAGAAGGAGAGAGGGTAGGAAGAGACCTGGCAGCAGAGCTTTTGGGAGAAAAAAAGGCTAATCTAATTATAATTTACTTGAACTAACTTGCATAACACATTGAACCATACAATAATCACACTAACTTAGTTCAAACAACATACTGAGCCACCAACTAGCTAAACCCAATATACTGTAGCTTAATATGCTGTGCACACACCTGATGTGAAGCCAAATATAGCTTCTCTTATCTGCAATGGAAACTTTGACTATATATCCAGCATGCATTTTAAGATGCTGCTGTGGTCTAGA